CTAGAAACCGTCAGTTTAGATGTTAATGGCTTAATTAAATAAGAATATTGTCTTTACCTGAAAATAAGTAATTATTGATAGTTAAGGAATGAAATGCAATTAAATTCTTCAAATATTATTCCAATATAATAATGACGTCAAACTGGGTAATAAGGGATGGGAGGGGTAAATGGGGACAGTGGTATCACATTTCGTACAAATGTCATAGCAGCTAAACTAATCAAAATGTTGCAAAACTAAGCTAAACTAATCAAAATATTGCAAAACTAAAAATAGTGGCACAAAGTTCAACATTTTTACTATCTATGTAGCATAAAGCAAATTAAGAAACCATACATTTACTACCTCTGAAAAATCCCTGAAAAAAGTGTGAAAAGTGAGATTTTGCAAAAGTACCTCTGCTAAGGTCTGTAGCAAAAAAATATTAGCCATATTAAAAAATTTTACTTACATAAAAGTTGCACACAGGTGTTGGCTTAAAAACATGACTGATGGAATTTGCGTATCTCATTTAAAGAAAAAAATGGCAGCCATTTCTGCATGATGGGGTAATAAGGGACACCATCCCAGGGTAATAAGGGACACCCCTAAAAACACATTCACAGTAGAATCTCAGCTAGCGAAATCTCCAGTTAATCAAAAAATTAATTAACAATTGATAACATTTACATTAATAATTTTGATTACATTTACCTTGCTCAGCAAAAAAATTTCAGTTAATGAAAAATTAATGCATCATTGGTCATCACAAAATGGTGCATAGAATGTCATAGATAGAATTGTGCACTGGGCAACATAGAATGAGAAGTAATTAACCTAAACTATGACTTATTTCTCCAAAAAATATTATAGTTGTCATTAAAATATTTCTTTCGGTTTCAGCTTTGTTTTTATGATCTTTTTTGTTATAGTGAATTCACTTGACCCAATTAAAATAGTGTGAAATTATAAGCCATCCTGTAAGTTTACAGATACAGAAAGAATGCTACATGGCTGCTGATATGAAGCTTGCAGTGGAGAAGGTCGGTGTAAATGCAGAATGGCATGTCCATGGATGTAGTAATATCACATCAATAATGCAATAATGTATGGATATGGTAATATATCAATAATGAATAAACAAGTAAAAAACACAGGAAATGTCATTTATTCTACATCTAAATCATCTACAAAGGAAGAGGGGGACTTCAGAGTACTGTTAGTAATGGATGAGTACACTTAGCATGCTTCAAACGTTTTAAAATTGAGTTTTATTTCAAGTGTCCCATGAGTAATTTGGGCCGCTTTTGTTTTGCATCGGGCGCCTTTTGAATAGCAGAGAGAATTTTTTAATATGCCACTTGATAGCCCTCACCAAAAGCTTTAAAATGAACCCAAATTTGTCTATGAATCTATGAAATGTTTAATGGTAAGAAGTTATTAACAAAAAACCCCCAAAACTGTCCCTTATTAACCAGTTTAATGGTATAGCCTGTCTACCATCCAAGTAATATGTCCTGTAGCAATCAGTTGTAATTTTCATTTTTTTAGCTGCCCAAGGACTTGACATTGTAATTGTAAATTGTAATTCACTACAATCTGTATCATTCATTCACTGTCAGTCATTTTGACTTGAATTGTTTTCCAAGTACAAGAATAATTGACATCTATCCTCCACCACAATCATGCCTTGGTGTCATTAGGGTGATTAATTGGTATCCTTGTCCTACGTTGCCTTACTTTGAAGTCTGGCTAGGCTAAATGCTATTACATTGTAGTGATAAAGCAAAGTAACTTGTGATTTTTACCAACATTTTGCAGAAAGCTGATGACACTTAAAATTAGGTTATTTACTTTGGTAATTTATGTGGTGTTTATGCTGTCTCTAAAAATTGACTTCCAACATGAGTTGAAGAGATTTGACTTTATTCCAATTGCCTTCAAAAGCTGCAGAAGTTGCAATTCAAGCTGTGTGAGGAAAGAGAGTTACTACATTTTTCAGACAGATGACTGTCAGTGTAGTTGATATCCATGTGAGTGATGCATATGTTAAATCCTGCTTCATTTGCTAAGCAATTTGCTAATAATCTCCAATGTTCCATGATAATATGCAATTTCCATTATATTACGCATTAACCACTATCATGGTATCCATTTTCCACATTAATTTCATAGCATTGTTGTACATATCAATTGTTTGCCATTTGCCATATTGATCACAGATTGCCTTCTATGGAGAAGTGTAATTGATGACTCTGCTGTCCACCTTGTTTTTATATAAGCCTCATCAAGCGAATACATTTGACCAAACATGCCTCCAGTTCATGGCCTTACAACCATGCCTCCAGTCTTGGAACCTCCAATTCATGATTCGAGGAGAAGCATGAACATATATTGCGGTAAAATGCCACATAAAATTGAACTATAATTTCGAGTTTTATTTCAAATTATTTTAAGTCTATTTCAAGAAATCTCATATTGTATGTGAAAAATTTTTAAATACTTTGTTTGCTTTTATTGCTATTATTTTGATTTTTGATTATGTATCAAGTACAGGAAGAGAGTACAATCAGTACATACTGCACCTTCCTCCATTTTTTATGAATGATGAATTATATTCTAATTTTATACTTGCTTGAGTAAATTATTTTGTACATATTTATTTTTACCTAGTTATTATCATTGGAGAAATTTATCCAAGGGAACAATGAGGAATGTATTTTTTCCTTTGTACAGCCTCAACAGAAGCAGGTTGAAGTAAGGTAATTAGACATGTCTGTTCAACTTGTCATAGCATGTTAATCAGGACTAAATGACTAACCTTTGGTCTGGTTAAGTCAGTATAGCAGATAATTAGACATGACAGGTTGCATCTGATACTCATTTATACTAAAGACCTCCAGATTAAGGCCAAGTGAACCACACACCAGCCTACTCTATAGATGTTTATGAACTTGTGTGTTGGAAACTTTCTGATGAACTGTATAGGGATTACATGAGCATGTACATATCTACAATACCTATCATGTCAAGACATTAGCAGGGTTACACTGGGTAGCTTCCCACCTGCCCACCCAGGCAGGATTTTCAACCTATACACCAAGGTTTTTTTTAATAAAACCATGGAGTAAAAGTGGGTTTTAAATAAAACTTAGGTATGCATCAAACTGATTTTTTAATTTTTAACTTCAGAGTGTAATAATACTGGATAGAAACTACCAAGGAAATATACTATATTGGGCTTCTTTAATAAATAGTCATCCATATAAGTATAGTGCATACCCCTAGAAAAACCCATGTTGATTAGAATTCTAAAATATAATAACAAATTTTGTTTACATGTTTGCTAGAGAAATATACTTCACAGAGTTTTTTTAACCATTTATGCAATGTCAATTTCAAAATCAGTATTAATTTAATTTACAACCTGTAGTTTCTTAATGTGAAGTAGAAAAAAACATTTTGTAAAAAATTATTTATTCAATGTTATTTACATACACTATTTATAGACCATCTGTAACTCAATGTTTGACATTTTTTGTGCTATCCAACTCCATAAAACAAGCTCTAAAAAAGTTAGAAACAATTAGCAATACAGTCCTGTTAATTTTTGAGCATTTACAATACTAGAAGTCTCAAGGTTAGGCACCAAGTTAGAAGTGCAAAGTTCAGTTCTAAGTGTTTTGAGGAAAAACGGAACATTGGGTATTGAAGAGCCTTGCGCTACCTAAGTTTTGAGAAACAAGACAGCAGATAAGAACTTGTACTGGGTTAATTGATTCAATACTTATTTTTACCATTGTTTTGTAGTCTCTGACAGAGATGTGTCATTCTTTAAATAGTGTTACATCATGTTAATGATGCATCACAAACTTACTGTTTGAAGAATGGACAATTATTTAATTAAAAGTTATGGCAAATGTAATAATAGAGGTTGATATTTTCCATCATCAAATTTTTTATACGTAATCAACATAAATAAAAAGAACTTTGATGTATAGTATAAATGCAATATATAGAAGAGTATAAATGAGCAAGCAAAAAAAAGCACAACTAACTATTTTACCCATTTTGCATGAGTTTTTAAAATAAAATCGTGTGCTTTTCAATAAATTCTGGATGGGTTGAGCAATTTTAAAAACCATGGGTTATTTGCAACCCTCTTAGCAAGGACGAGGCATGGAGGAATTACAAGTAGTGTATTTATTTCTTCTATCCAAGCTGAGTCATCTTGCTCTCAACATCATTGGTTTTGAACTTCTTGGGAGAGTTGATTTTTGCAGCTATGAATTTTTGATTAGTTTCATGCAGGTAGCAGGCATTTACATTAGTAGAAGTCTCTAAGTAGGTATAAATGTATAAGTTACTAATACATGATATACCTTTATAACTACTATCTAAAATCTCTCACTGTTGACCTTGGTCATCAATTCTTGTTTCTGTCATGAAGTTTATGTAGGAAGCATCATAATCCAGTTGATCTTGATTGTTGTGACTAAACTTGTTAGTGCTACTAGAGAGTGGCTAGGCATTAACAATATTCAGTGTGGGATGGTTTGAATAACCCGTTCTTCTATAACTCATAGACTTTTCTACTGGGCTTCACCAAGCTTAGAGGTAAATTGGCAACCTTGTATGAGGTATATTTGGTCATTAGTGCTCTGGCTATGGTGTGTGATCCAGACTAACAAGTGTGTCTAATTCAGAACACAGGTCTGCTAATAATAATTTTTTATATCAACTTATGATACTTTCATTTTGTTCTGTAAAATGTTGGTGTTTTCCCTCTTTCATTCCTTCCTGAATATGACTTCTTCAGATTATATTCGATGATAGTTTAGTCATTAAGTTGCAAGTTGGCTACAGTCTTGCATACTGTGAGAGCTTACCAGGAAAATGTTTTGAGACCATATTCAACAGAAAAATACATTGAGCTTTTTATAATTGGATTAATAACACATGGATTGAATGAAAAAACAGATATTATAGGTTCTGGCAACACTCATATTTTTTTGTTGCAGAAAGTCATAGCCTCACTGTTGAGTCATGGGCATGACATCACTCACAGCCTCTGCACACCTGATCAACAGGGCTACTCAGCTCTTCATTATGCTGTTTTGTACAAGGATCTTGCAATGGTGAAGAAACTTCTCATCCATGCAGGTAGTTGAGTTATTATTTATCTATTCATTATTATCTGTGTGAAAATTGAACTGAAAATAGTGGAAGGAGAACCTTAAGTCCCACAAGATTCTGAAGCCTAGGTTTGAAAATTGAAGTTTTATTCAGCCTGTACAAAACGCTGGCTCTGATGGCATGCCTAGTACTTGAGTAGCTTGTGTGATGGCATGCCTAGTACTTGAGTAGCTTGTGTGATGGCATGCCTAGTACTTAAGTAGCTTTATTTCTTCATGAAGTGAACTATTCATTTTTTGACAATTATAGGATAACCAATGCTTTGGTTGAAATTCCCAATTTCAAAAAGAAAATATACAGCTTATTGTATAGCTGCTTACCTATTTGCTCTGTAGTTGGTGGTTAATGACGTTACCCTTTCTTAGAAATTGCTTATGCCGCCTATAACTACTTCAGATCAAATTAGAAAAATTCTACTTAAGTCATGAATTCTTTTCCAGTAATATTAAAGCTGCTTGTATCACATATTGGATTTTTCATTATGAATTTAAAATACAATTCTCAGTGCTACTCTTTTGGAGAAGAATTTCCAAGTTAATTATTTAAAGTCCAGTTTACTAAAAATTGAACTTGCCAATTTAAATTTATCCTTTTAAGTGGGATTTGCGTTGCCATTTGCTTGTTTTTGTTATTTTGCAGCTGTTCCTCAAAGATTCCACTTCTGTTCTAAACCTTCTGGACGATATTCTGCAGCATACTTTAGCTCCTTGGAATGCCCATGGGTTTTTCATTCCAGTAACATTGTTCCTGGCCATGCCACCACTGAGCTCTTAGTAGTGGCTTAGTGCTTTCTCAACTGAGTGCAAGTTACACATGAGGAGGTCAAGTTGTTTGCAGCTGGGAGTTCCTTGCACTTCCATTAAATGTCTTTCTTGGGTTGAAGATTTATGTACATGTGGTGTATCAACCAATGCATTAAATATTAACAGGGTAAACAACCCCTTGTAGAGGTGGAACTACCTAGCTCTGTTACGGAACCTAACCTGTCATCCCTTCTTGGTTAGGCAATTCTTAGCAATTTTAATGCTTCTATTCACAGCCCATTGAATTCTATTGAAAACACGGCCGAGTGGGGGATAAATAAGGCAATATCAACTAAATAATTATTTATTAATTGACCGCCGGAAGGAAGTAACACTTCGAGAGCCGAGGATGGCAGTGTCCACCATCGGACGCGCCTCCCGAGCTTCAGCACACTCGCCCGCTTTCAACTTAATATAGGTGTTTGCACTGCGCAAAGGAAATGGATATATACGTTTAATTTGAAACGTGAAAGATTAAAGTTAAACAGGAAGTCTAAGCTATGCTCATATACCTCACAGGATAAGAGAGACGTATGACGGCTAAGACGACTAAGGTATTATATCGTTATAAATGCGTAATAGACACAGGACTTCCAATTTACACTTAATTAATATGGGCACAAGTGGAGGTTCTACCCTCCATATTGGAGGAACAAGGCACCATGAAGAGCTTTAAGCGAGCACTACGCGTTAGTTTTCGCAGCTCACCTCCGTGAATGCAGAACCAGCAAGTTCGGTGTCGTAGCGTAGCCAGATGGTCCGCCGGTCCGTGGGCGCCGTGGCGCCAGTACCTCGTGCCGTACTGCCGGGAAGTCGCTCCAGCTAGGTAGGGCGCAAGCCATGGATGCATCAGAGATAGTAGTCCAGTGTGGTCCGCCGTGACCTCATCACCGCCCGAAAGGTAGCCACCGCCGAACCCCGATCGCTCCACAGGTCTCTACTGCTTCATAGAGACGGGACTAAAACACAAGAAGTTCGTGTCTGACATCTTGACGTCGACCAAGGCTGAAGATGAAGAGATGATTAATCCTGTGTGCTGACTGCATGAACGTTAGAGTGGAACTGCTTGCTAGGACGCGGAACAGGGGCAGAGAAGTTTTGTCTTAAGAGTCGTTATAATAGAAATAAGGATGGCTTAGCTGCTAAACTGTTACGTGTGCTCGAAATTATTTTAATTAATTTAAAGCTTTATTTAATCAAGACGTTATATCGGAATTATTAAATTGGAAGTCCGGTCAGAAATGGTTCGAGGCATTAATTTTATACATCGCCGAGCTACCAAACTAAGTGAAGGTAGGAAGATACCTTCAGTTTTCTACACTCCCGCCAAAGAGATTAAATTTCCAGCAATAAAATTGGAAATTGAAGAGATCAAGTTGACTCAATGCAAATACCGGGATAGGTATTTTAACCCGTTAACCGCAGCGACCTCTAAGAAGAAATGAACACTTCACCCGTGTTATCTAATCACGGTTAACATTACTTAATACTATCAACTTACATACTAGAGACTTCAGGTACAGCTGCCTTCCCAGCCAACATGAACATGGCTTACGAACTAAAGGGCTGGGACTGGAGTTCCCTCAGTCAACTCATAACACAGTATAGTTAGATTAAATTTCGTTCGATTAGATCCTTAATTTTTCCGCGGCCTCGCTGCGCTGCGAGCCGGCGAGGTCTATGTACACTAACCTCCGTGACCTCGCCCAGATGATTGAGGGTAACTTCGGTGACTCGCCCCATCGCGTAGTTGTAACGTTTTTGGTTGGGTTCTTTAAGCAGGACCAAGTCATTTACTCCCAGGACCTTGTGTTTCACAGGGCGGAATCCGTCCTTTTTTGACGTAGCTTGCGTAATAAGGCTGGGGATTAATTGCGAGTTATATTTATCAACGAGTTTTCGTCTCACGGCATTCAGCTTGGCAAAGTTCTCGCGCAATAGGTGGGCTGCCTCCATAGACGGGACCCACTCAGGATCGTCGGGGGTCTCGCTGACGTGCGGCAAAACAAGGGGGGAATGCAGTACGTATCCCCTCAGAAGTGCTTCCGGTGTAATATGACTGGGCACGCTAATGCTTGTTTCTCTGAGTGTCTCTTTAAATGCTACTGGCCTGTTGTTGACCAGACATGTAACTTGTTCTACAGCCAGATCGAAGTCTGCCAAGTCAAGCACGTTGTTACCGATGGAACCGAATACGAGACGTTTTATTAACTTGACGCAAGACTCGACCAGCGTGCCCAGAGCGCTGCAACCTCTCGGATACTGTTGGAAGGATGTTTTTGATGTCGCTGGCTTCGCAGTAGGCTTCTACTTCAGGGTCCTGAAGGACCTTCGAAATTATTTTCGACCCTGCGATTAGCTGCGACCCGGAATGAGGATGGCCTGCCTAGATGAGGCAGGCCAAACTCAAACACGTGCTTCTGGAACGCCCTCAGGAACTCTTTAACGGATAGGTCAAGCGATAATTTTAGATTAATGGCGCGGCTCCAGAGACACGTTATGCACAGTATCCATACTTTGACTTTAGTCCCTGCCGAGCGCACATAGAACGGACCGATGTGGTCGATAAAGCAATGGCACAGTCGGAGGATCGACTCTAAAGTCTCTGTACGAAGACTGACTAAGCTTTACGCTTCGCTCATTGGATCTACGACACGTGACGCATTTTCGTAGTATCTTTTTGGCTACGGAAAACACGCTTGGGATGAAATATTGTCCTCGTAGCTCCGTCAGCGTGGAATAGAGGCCGGCATGATTCATTCTAGTATGCACGTCGTTCACTATCAATTCCGTGAGCTTGCTGTTTTTGGCTAGCAAGATCGGCCGACCGTACGTGGAGTGTTTGCTCCAACGTTCGAATTTACTGTTCACTCTTAACATCCCGCTCGAGTCTAAGCTCAAGTTTAGCTGGAGTATTAATGCAGGAGTATCTTTCTTAGTTTTAGCGTTCGATTGCAAATAGTGATAACAATCGGGAAAGTGTTTTCGCTGATCCGCGATGACAATTCTACGGCAGGCCTCCCCGAATGCATTGTGACCCGGAAGTGCCAAGCTCGATGTACTTTCGTCCGTAGCGGTTTTATTGCTAAATTTATTTCTCAGGTTTATTACGAATTTCAAGACAATGCGATAAACGCTTGCTAATCGATAGAAGCTTGAGTATCTCTCCAAGGGAATTAGCTGTTCATCGCTCGCAAGGCATCGGATTTGCGCGCTCATGTGCTCGGTTGACCTAAACACACGAGCCTCTTGAGCTTTGTGAGAGGGCACTGTGAAGCTGAGCAGATTGTCTTCTCCGACCTCGGTTTGCCGCGCCTCCGACAGGAATTTAGGGCCTGTGTGATAATGACTCCTTGCCAACTGTTTGTAGCTCAAGGAACGAGTTATACAATCGGCGGGATTGTCCGCTCCGGCCACGTATGCAAGTTCCACCGGGAAGACTTCGCACAGTTTGCAAATTTTGTGCAAGCGTTTTTTTACAAACGCAGTTAGTTTCTGCATTTTATCGAGTTTGGTAGCGTATGCGGTTAGCCACGAAAGGGAAACTAGGCTATCGGAAAACAGGCTCAGTTTTTCGATATTCAGCGGACATGGCAATCGTTCGCAGGTCAAGTCGGAATAAAGATCAATTAGGGCTTGAGTTCCTAGAGCGATGGCATGGAATTCCAACGAGGACACACTTTTGTCCTCCAGTTGTTTGTTTACCAGGCGGTTTTTGGCGAGGAGGAAGTTTGACTTTCCGGTGGTTAGACTCTGGATAAACACTACTACTCCATACATTACCTTACTCGCGTCCGTGAAGGCGACGAGTCTGTACTTGTCATCACGTTCACCCACAAATCTATGAATTTTTATTTCTCCACCTTTATTTACCTGTTTACAGATGTTTCTCCATTCTTGTAAGAGGGATGCCGGAAGGCACTCATCCCAGCCACGTTGATTGTCGCACTGTAGCTTGTGGGCAAACAACCGCGCTCTGTTGAGAACTGGCCCACTGATTTGAAATAAGTCGTAGTTACTCGCTATTGTAGACATCACCTTTCTTTTGGAGTTCGCTGACGCATCCAATTCCATTCGGGGGGCGTACACTTCGTCTGTAGTGCGGTCCCATTTGAGACCAAAGAGTCTCACCTCTTCTCCTGTCTCACCTCTGATGGCATTCTCGCTGTCTATTCGTTCTTGTAGAGACGGGTAGTTAGTCAAGAATTGCTGTAAGGAGAATTGGTATTTGTTAAATATTTCGGGTAACTTGAAGTACGAACAGCTCAAATAGCGAAGGTCATTAGAAGTAATGGATGCGTTGTCCATGTATGTGAGACAATAAACGAGGTTTTTCAGACGTCTGATGTCTTCCTCGTCAGATGTCGCGTCCAAAACCAAGATTTTGAAAAGCGCAAGCATCAAGATCGCTGGCGAGCATTTCAAGCCGAACGCGAGCCGTAAATGCTTGTATGCAACCAGGCTGAAGTCTGCATTAACAGGGTCCCGGTACCATAAGAACATTAATTTTATCTGATCCTGCTCAGACAAGGCAATGTTCAAGAAGGCCTTCTTTATGTCGAAGGTCAATAGATATTTATCAAACCTCAAAAGGATAAATGCTGTAGCTAATCTGTTGTTGAGGTTGGGACCGCTATGCATGGCTTGATTATGGGTAAGAGTTCTTTGCATTTGCGGTCTCTTTTCGCAAATGTTGGATAGGTAAACCACACGGCACTTTGTGCTTTCCTTTTCGGGTCTAAAGACACCCATATGCGGCAAAAAGCTCCATGAATTTTGGCGATCGTGCACGAGGTTGAGATCCTCAACGGGCTCTATCATTCCTTCTTTCACTTGATCGGTAATGACTTTGTCGTACATCGCAAGTTACTCGGGCTTCTTTTGTAGCTTCCTCAAATTTGATTTGAGTATTTGTTTCGACAAATTGAAATTAGTGCCAGGATCGTGACAAACTTCCTTATTCCACAATAGTGGCATTACGAGCCTTCCATCGGAAGCGCGGGAACAATTGCTCAAAATCAGTTCTGCATGCGCTTCGTCTTGTTCGACGGATTGATCTTCATAATGGCCGGTTTCATATGCCAGCCTTTTAAATTTTTCGGCTCTCAGCATATCCTCGATGGCTCGGTCGAGGACGGATTCTTCGATATCAGCGCTATCTATGACGCAATCGACCTCCGGGAGGTATGCTTCCTCCCTGAACTCCTTATTTACGGGAGGCTCACGCCCCTCGAGTAAACCATGCGGTTCACAACCGGACGCGCCCTCCTGGGTTCGCTCGTCGTTTGCGAGCGCGTCATCTGTCTTTTCTTTTTCATTCAGCACGCTTGCGGCGGACGCCGCAGCATGAGAACAATTGGCATTGGAACTATAGGCGGCTTCAGCGGATGCAGGAGCTAGGTAATGCAAGTTGCCTAGCATCCGCTTAACGCTACCGCTTAGGAGGACTCCCAGCGGGCTCAACGATATCACGGATTGAGGCGCGTCGCCAAACCTAACGTCTTGCTGAGGCAGAATTTGGGAATCAAGATTTCCTAACATAAAATCTATACCGCTTATTTGATCCCGCGAGTCTACGAGGGTTGCATCAGCCAATGCATAACCTTTCTCTTGAATTGCATGCGCTAGCTTACTGAGACCAGGCTACGTTATGCTGGTCCTAATCTCGGGTACACAGATTGCTCTCAAAGGCGGTTGAGATTCATCGAATTGTATCGCAACAATTCTTGTGTGGTAGTCTTGGGAGGTATTAAAACCGTTTACGATAAGCCGGAAGTCGTCATCGAGCACGGGTAAGGCCCAATTAGCGGCAAGCTCGTTGGTGATAAAATTGGGCTGACAGCCGCTGTCTCTCTTGCATCTTGAGCGACCATGCAGCGTTCTGATTGAGAAGGTGGGTATAATAACGTCCTGCCCATAATCTACCGTCATGCTCATCAGTGCCCTAGACACCGCGACTACCCCCGACCCGACTTCTTTCACCCCTTTCCCCCGAAGCTCGCTCCGCGCTTCTCGGCTAGCTTTCAGGGATGGGTCTTCCTTGGCACCTTTAGCGCATAAGAACGTGTAATGAGAGCCATTGCAATGATAGCAACCTTTTTTACATTGGAAGCGGCAGGCTTTTTCGCCGTGGGATATATTTGCGCACTTAGTACACCCGTTCAGGGAAATCAAACGGTCGCGCTTTGCCTTCGGATTTGGATAGGTTGGACAGTTCAACGAAGAATGCGAGTAAACCGGCGTTCCTTTTCCTGTACACAAACTTCAATGGGGGCGCTGTTTCTCGCGTTCCCATTTTTCTGTTCGTCCAACGCCAACTGTAGGGTTCGAGCTTTAGTTTTTAGTCGGTTTGGCATGAGATTTCGCGGAAAGGCAACGCTCGGTGGCTTCATAGATATGATCCATCAGCTCATCGAGAGATGGGTTATTTTTGTTGGTTATATGAATAGGTTGCTGCTGGAATTCTTCATTCAGCCCTTGCCAGAAGAAATATTGGAGGATTACGTCCGCGTCTATCGATAGCGTGCGAAAGCTTTCTACTACAGATCGCATTTGGCCTATGTAATAGTACGGATCGCCGTTTCGGGCTAGCTTCATTTCGGTCAGCCGTTTGATTACCTCAAACTTCTGAATGACAGGGTTAGCGAACGCTTTCTGCAGCAATGCCTTGGCCGCTTCATAATTCTGTTCCCTAATTTCTAACGACTGGATCAGAACGCCCCCTTGAGCTGGCGTTGAAGAAAGATAAATTTTTCATAACTCGATAAATTGTACTTCGCAACAATAGTTTCAAAGTTTACCAAAAACTTATTTAGGTCCTACCCTTCTTTGTGACTATACTCCGGAAAGGGAATCTGTGGGAGTTTCAACTGACTACGGCCAGGTTCCTGCGCAGTGGGCCCTAATAGTAAGTTGCTTTCGGGTTTCAGCGCAGTTTCCAGCTCAATAATGGAGGCCGTAATTTTGCGAGCGTATTCGGCGCACATCTCGTATTCTGATTCTAGCACATTTTCTGCAGAGTCCTCCGCGCACAGAGCATCTAGTATATTCTGGTCTTGCTCCCGTACGCTTTCCTGCAGAGTGCGCAGTCTAACCAAAGTCTGCATTTTCTCTTCCCGTGAAAGGGACGGCAAATTTGATTCGACATTATTAGCAATGCGCGTTATCTCCGCCCTTGTAAGCTTGCGTTTGGTTTTCAAGTGTTTTAATTCCATGTTCACCAAGTAAAATTGCTCATCAGAGCAAGGACCGGTAACAGCAGAAATAAGTTAGCGCTATTAGGCAGCGAGAGAATAATCAATAGCAATATAGCAATCTATAGGAAAAGCAACAATAGCAATTCTATAATAGCAACAGCAGCAATAGCAGATAATAGAACAATCTAGCAATCTATAGGGTTAGCAATCGAGAGATTCAAGATGGAGCGATCGCGCAACAATCGGAAATGCAATCAAGAGAATTAAGATTGAGCAATTACGCAACAATCGGAATAGCAATCAAGAGAATTAAGATTGAGCAATTACGCAACAATCGGAGTAGCAATCAAGAGATTTAAAATTGAGCAATTACGCAACAATCGGAATAGCAATCAACAGATTTAAGATTGAGCAATTACGCAACAATCAGAGTAGCAATCTCGAGATTTAAGATTGAGCAATTACGCTACAATCGCAATAGCAATTACGCAACAATCGCAATATCAAGAATGACCTAAATAACGGAAATATGATCAACTTAACTGTAATTTAGGAGCGATCGGCGCTGACGGACGGCTACACTAGGCGGCGGGTGGCCACACGGCGGCGGGTATAACAATGGACGTTCGTAAGCGAAATTAACGGACAGCTACTCGCACCGAACCCCACTCGTGCCCCACGTTGGGCGCCATATTGAAAACACGGCCGAGTGGGGGATAAATAAGGCAATATCAACTAAATAATTATTAATTGATCGCCGGAAGGAAGTAACGCTTCGAGAGCCGAGGATGGCAGTGGCCACCATCGGACGCGCCTCCCGAGCTTCAGCACACTCGCCCGCTTTCAACTTAATATAGGTGTTTGCACTGCGCAAAGGAAATGAATATATACGTTTAATTTGAAACGTGAAAGATTAAAGTTGAACAGGACGTCTAAGCTATGCTCAAATATACCTCACAGGATAAGAGAGACGTATAACGGCTAAGACGACTAAGGTATTATATCGTTCTAAATGCGTAATAGACACAGGACTTCCAATTTACACTTAATTAATATGGGCACAAGTGGAGGTTCTACCCTCCATATTGGAGGGACAAGGCACCATGAAGAGCTTTAAGCGAGCACTACGCGTTAGTTTTCGCAGCTCACCTCCGTGAATGCAGAACCAGCAAGTTCGGTGTCGTAGCGTAGCCAGATGGTCCGCCGGTCCGTGGGCGCCGTGGCGCCAGTACCTCGTGCCGTACTGCCGGGAAGTCGCTCCAGCTAGGTAGGGCGCAAGTCATAGATGCATCAGAGATAGTAAGTAGTCCAGTGTGGTCCGCCGTGACCTCATCACCGCCCGTAAGGTAGCCACCGCCGAACCCCGATCGCTCCACAGGTCTCTACTGCTTCATAGAGACGGGACTAAAACACAAGAAGTTCGTGTCTGACATCTTGACGTCGACCAAGGCTGAAGATGAAGAGATGATTAATCCTGTGTGCTGACTGCATGAACGTTAGAGTGGAACTGCTTGCTAGGACGCGGAACAGGGGCAGAGAAGTTTTGTCTTAAGAGTCGTTATAATAGAAATAAGGATGGCTTAGCTGCTAAACTGCTACGTGTGCTCGAAATTATTTTAATTGATTTAAAGCTTTATTTAATCAAGACATTATATCGGAATTATTAAATTGGAAGTCCGGTCAGAAATGGTTCGAGGCATTAATTTTATACATCACCGAGCTACCAAACTAAGTGAAGGTAGGAAGATACCTTCAGTTTTCTACAAATTCTGATGTTGATTTTGATAATTTGTTTTCTTTTGTTGTTGGAGTCATTATTATGTAATGTTCATTGCAGATAAAAGGTGCATAAACATGGAGAGTCATGGTCGATCCACTGCTCTGCTGCTTCTCTGTAGAACCTGCTCAGCCTCAGACCTGGAGGTGACTAGGATGGGTCGTGAAATGTTTTATATGCTTTTAATTCAGCCTGCCTACAACCAAACATGAAACAGACCAAACTCTGAAGATAATTCTCATGTGCATGATCCTGATTATAAGAAGTAAAGGTTTTCTGATTTTTTATAAAAACTTTGTATTGTGGTACAGTCTGCATAAAGTATTCACACTTGTAGGGTACTATAGTCAGGTCACTACAGCATCTCTATTATGTCCAAAACTTTCTCTAAAACTGCTTATTCTGTTTAATCCTAATTTTGCTCTTGTTGCTGAATTCTTTTTTTCTGTACAAGTAGTATAATAAGAGTTGTTTCTTATCATTCTGTCCTGTTATTTTATCTTAAATTCACTCCATTAAATTTTTATTTGTTCAGGAAGAAATATTGGCGAGCCTTCTACATGCTGGGGCAAATCCCAACCTGCCTGAAAAAGATCCATTTTCCCTGCCCTTATTGTGCGGTATGTCATCCTTATAATTGCTCCAGCTTTAGTTAGGAAGACATTTGAGGAGTTTTATCAATATATTACATACAATCTAAACAAGAAATTATTGATGATTTTAGCACGGCGAGAACCGTGCTAAAATTTGCCTAATGGTCAGATTTATGAGAACAAAATTCGGTAGATGAGTCTCATCTTGAAGAGGCTTCTTATTTCTATTGCTTGAAGAATGCTTATTTTTTTGAAAAATCATTCAATTATGCTTGGCTTGTGCCCCTTTTTTAGGACAAATAAAAATTAGAGCAGAACTTTGCGCTCTACAGTGAAAACAGCTCATTATTAGATGCCAATTTTCCAGCCTTGGAGAGACGCTGGTGGCGAGGAGCTGATCTAATGCTGGACGCAGGGGCTGACGCCACAGCCACAGATTCTGAGCACAATGAGCTTGAAGCCACATTCTTTGCTCGGGTGCGCGCAGCTTTTGATTCAGTGAAATATAAACGTCTAAATTTGCGGTTGCGTAATAAACTGTCAACGATTATTAAAAAAATTGTAGTGCACCCATATACGAGTATGAATAATGATTATTTTGTGTTGTAGATTTTGTAATGTGAAGTTTCTACTTCCCCGTTTGCGTTTGACCTGTCACAGAACTCAACGATCATTACTTCTTTATCAAATTCTAAATTAATTGCCTACATTTCTTTTGTTCTCGGGATTTCTTTAAAATCCTTTCATCTAAGATTTGTATCTGTGATTTTAATTCAGATGCTAAGGAAACACTGTCAACTTTGGTGTGAGTTTAGTTGAGCTTAAGCATTTTATTTTGAATATTTATGTATTTTCAGGATAATGTCGAAATACTGAGGAAACTTTTGAGTAGAGGATGTCCCTGCCATTACCTCGATGATTGGATAGCTAGTAGAAGTCTAACAGAGGCCCAGTTGAAGACCATATTGCCGCCGTACATATTGTCTAACCCTAAGGGTGATGTGTGAGTACTATAGCTGCAAAGACCTAACAAAACCAGCTTATGTGGATATTTTGAATTACTCTATACCTAAATTATTTGAATTAGCGAGTGATAAGTCCATATTCCTAATGAAATAAATTCTTCATTAATCAAATGCGATGTAAGATTCGATTTTCCATAACGGGTTCTATTTCTGGTACCTAGGCTGGATGTTCTGCTTGCTGCTGCCTCGGTATCGTACCACGAGAGCGCTCTGTACATTCTGGAGCATTGCGTGTTTGATGAGATATATCAATTTGAGCGCATAATCGGCAATATCTATAAACTTAATAAAGAAATCAACTGGGCAGACAAGAACAAGTAAGATTTGTTAAATAGATCCTGCATCTACTAAATGCAAAGTTTCCTTGTTGGCATTTGCTGTGTTTGCATGAAGACAATTAACTTTTCTACAATTAATTCTGTTGAGAAATTTGCATTTAGAAATAATTCAGAGATACGGTACTGGTTTCTTTTAGGCATGATGTTCCTTTGACAGTTGAAACGAAATAATATTAGACTCCAGTCATGCTTGTAATTTCTACAAATGCTGAAATTTTAGTGAAAAATTTGAAATTGTCATCAGGTACCTAATGGTAATTGATTCCTGGCAAAATATTGTTAAAGCATTACTGATCCGGTGGTTGTTGTCTGAAAAGTATTTGAGTTCTAATCCGCTTCATCATTGATTTAATTTATATGTCCAAACAAAAATATTTTTCTCTTCAGGTACATAACTGCCTTGATGAAGAACATTTTCAAGAGTGAAATGGACAAGAACGACCTGCTGATAATGCTTTTCCTGGTATGCGCCAGGTCAGTTCCTGGAAAAGTTACATTTGATTATACAATACTAAAATTTATGATGAAATTTATCACGGTCAATTACCTTTCTTAACATTTATGTTGATTTTAACTGAAATAATTTTGAAGCTAGTTACTTGTCTTTTACTTCGTAAATAGATTGTTGGAGCTGGTGCAAGCTGGAAGTATAGTTGAGTTTATCTTGCCCATAGCTGCTGCGGGATGAATGGAAGATACAGAGAAAAGTGTTGCGGCTTCTGCGTCGTCAATGTCGAACAAATCTGGATCAATCTAGAACATATTTTTAGACTAGCCGAGCATTATGGTCTACCCATCGAAAAGTGGGAGGCACGCTATGAATGGATGCTCAGAATTTTTTTTTGGAACACAATTCATTGGAACCCAATTTTTGTTCCTGGCAAGTAAGTGTTATTTCCCAACTCATTTTGTTACAAAACAATAGAAAATGGCCATTATTCCTTTTAAACTTTGCTTTTGTAGCTTACAGAATGAAATTTTGACAAAAAATGAACAAATTTCACTCTCGTGCTATTTTTGGTCATAAAACAAAAACATGCACTATACAATCAGTTCTATAGTCAACAAAAATATAGTCAATCTATCTATAGATGCAAAAAATAAAAATTATTAGATGCTTGGACTTGTAGGAGATAGTTGTGGAAAGCAGATGCATGTTAGTGGCCAGCAACCGTTCTTGTCCGATGATCACCTGAATCGTTTGAAATATCGTATAAATCTTATGATTCGAATGATACGTCTGTAAGAATTCGAATATTACTCGAGGTTTTGTCTTCTGGGGGGACGCCCTATTGAAAAAAGTTCCATATTATAGAAATCTTGTTGTGACACTTATTATGTATGTATTTTTTTAATATTTCAACATACTGGGCAGTATGACCCCGGAAATTGTTCCTAACGTCCTCAACCTTGTGCTGCTCCAGACGACTTTATGTTCAGTTCCCCTCGTCTTGAAGCTCCTGTCACTGATGAAACAGAAAGGCGAGTGTTGTACTAGGGATGTAGCACAGGCTTGATTTTCACTGCTTCAGTTTTCTTGTGTATACGGTCTTTTGACAGGGAATAAATAATGAATATCATCGGCTGATAAAAAAATAGACTACATGTAAGGTGTGATGTCAACATTATTCTCGAGAATTTAAAAGCAGAGTAAACGTCAAGTGAATTAACCATATATTCATGAAAACTTTCGAGAGACCAGCATCAGAAGTTAAAAAAACTTAGATAATACTCGCCCAATTAACAGTGAAAATCCAAAAATGCACGAAAAAGATCAAAACTTTAGTGACGAGAAATCGACAAAGCCACGTAGAGATCTATCGATTTACATTTTCAAAGGGGTTAGAATGTACGCGTTTTTGAGTCTAGGCGCGTTATTGAGTCAAGGCCCAGATGCTGTCTAACCTGGTCTATTAATAAAGTTATGTGCTCTGCGCATCAGCATACGTCGAAATGCCGTCGTCTACACACATGTTTCTGAGCATCGCGGCAAGAGCTTTCGTTCGAACATGTTTTCCAGGCCTTCTCACTTGGCTGTGCGCTTCTATGCTGAACAGTGCGACGTGACTGGGCCTGAGAGCGATTTAGAGATACTCGGTGCCACTTCTGGCTGAACCAAGGATTTTAGAACCACTGCATATTTTTAAACGGATACCTTGTCTTAATATCGCGTATAATTCTTATTCTCTTGATATAGTAACTCGACAAGTCTTTTGTCGTTTTTTCGTCATTTGGTATTTTCGTGCACATTTTGGATTTTTGCTGTTGATTTTACTTGTATTCTCAAAAGTTTCAGTTTTTGAACTGCTGCTGGAGCTGGTCTACGAAATGTTTTCACTAATATTTGGTGAATTTACTTAGCGATTACTCCTGGTGAACTTGCTAGTTTAGCTGACTGATGACATGAGTACTTATATGCTCTCAAGAACTCTCGAGACATGTGCATATTGACACTTTCCAGGTCTCCGGCTGACAGTGTCATCTGCGGCAGCATTCTTATGTAGTCCATTCACATGTCGCCCAATTCTTCAAAATACTGACGTTGATTTAAAAGCTATTGTGCACTCGCCGGAGTCAGTGTATCGAATTCTGTTATCAGAGGTGGCCAGGAACTGCTGTGAAGAGGGGCAGTGCTGGTTCAGGTTGGTTAGTTTCGATGAAAGTGTCTGCCCTGCAATCATTCGAAGCGAGGTAGCTTCACAGCTGATGCATATGTACACATCTACAGTACCACTATATATATGATACTCTTCTCATTCGTGTTTTAGCCTCATGCTCCGAGCGTCATCACATTATTTTCATTTGTGTGCCTCAGGTCGCCCATGATGACGGATTTGTGTTGGCGTGGCATTAGAGAAGGACGTCATTTCCTTGTGCTTATGCTGCTCCATCTCGGCGTGCACGAATTATTCCTGCCCACGGAGTAAGTGTCTCGGCCAATTACTGATGTACAATTATGGTGCCTGATGGATTAATATTAATTAATAAAACATATGAGTTCAAAATTTCTATGATGTTAAATGTTAATTCTTCTGTCTTCTGTAATAGCGTAACAGAAATTGCAGAGGAAAATGAAGAAAGCATGCGACTCATGATCTCAATTGTTCACCGTTATGCTCCGAGGTGGAAGCTTCGGACTCCTACGCCTTCTGGGTCTCGTTGCGACGACGAAATGAGGCCGCTGAAATATCGCTATCGTCCAGAAAACGAGGTGGCACTTTTAGATCAAACGGGTACGTTTAAATCAAAGAGTGAGGTAGTTTACTTAGGGTTATGGACCTCCTTCTGAACTTCACTCAAAGAAAGGATTTACTAGAACTTCGGCGTACCTAATTTATACCTAAATTGGAGTTCCCCAATTTAGGAGGCTGAATTATGGTATCTTTTAAATTATTTGTCCCCGTCTCAATTTATTAATTAGTGCCTTGAGGAGTAATTGATTCACGTGATTAAAAGTTGATCACCTATTACAGTGGCTGAGACTGGTTACTGAACTGATGTGTTGGGAGTTGGCGATTAAATAAATGCATATGCTTACATGCTTATAAATAACGATATTATAATTGGGACCGTTGATACCGTGACTCTTGTTGCCTGGGACCGTTGATACGGTGACTCGTGTTGCCTGGGACCGTTGATACTGTGACCCGTGTTGCCTGGGACCGTTGATACTGTGACTCGTGTTGCCTGGGACCGTTGATACTGTGACTCGAGTGGCCTGGGACCGTTGATACGATGACTCGTTTTGCCTGGGACCGTTGATACGTTGACTCGTCGTGCCTGGGACCGTTGATACGTTGACTCGTTTTGCCTGGGACCGTTGATACGGTGACTCGTCTTGCCTGGGACCGTTGATACGGTGACTCGTCTTGCCTGGGACCGTTGATACGTTGACTCGTCTTGCCTGGGACCGTTGATACAGTGACTCGTCTTGCCTGGGATCGTTGATACGGTGACTCGTGTTGTCTCGGACCGTTGATACGGTGTATTTCAAGTTGTGATGATTCACTATTACTGCGTTGAACCAAAATTCATCACTAAAATATTAAAATTTTATTTCGACTGATGCGAGATTATTTTTTTGGGCTGATGCGAGATTATTTTGGTGACAATAGTGGAACAGAGGCGGACGTCCAGGGATTGTGCCCAAAGACATGTAAGGATTCCTTGTCAGACGGATGTGTGACTTAGACTGTTCTTGTGGTGGTATTGACGCCAAGTGATGTCTTCTTCTGGCCTTTTTCAGGATTGTATTAGGCTTTCCAGTTCATATCTTTTTCACGTTCTTTTTCTAGTAATTTGTCGTAAACAGCGCAGCAAATTTATTATCTGTTTGTTCTTCTGCATTTTTTCTTGTCCTAGTTTAAAGTTTTTTTAATCTCTGGAAATCGCGCAGCTGTCGTTCAATAATGTCACATTGTTGATGGTATTTCTGTTGCTATTAATCATATAGAAAGGAATAACCTCTACGACAGATAATGTATTCTTAGACAGAGCGTGATATTTTTTGCTACATTTAACCACGAGATCTATAAATCCAGACCCAACCTTTCTTTATCCTGAACTCCTTAATTGTTTACCATACTGTATACTTTTGAATACTATCGCTAGGCTGGTAGTTCAGTTTAATAGGCTAAAAACAAAGTTTAATAGGATAAACGAGTCTTCCGGTGATCCTCGTTAAAATCTCCTAAGTTGATTATTGTTACTACGACTAATAATCGGCAGGGTGGCTAAGTGGTTACACTTGAGAGTACTAATATAGATGCAGTGTGTTGCGGGTTCGATCCCAGCTTGCTATAACAGTCCGAGTCAAAACGGGCATGAACAGTCCTATTATAACAGTCCTAGTCAAAACATGCTATAACAGTCATATTATGGGTATGTTCGCATTGTTTAGCAGACAAGTTCTGTTAAAGAAAGCGTTCAGTGCTTTGCCCTTTGCCCTGGCGCTCTGAGCAGCTGCCTTTAACGCAACACACTCGAGCTTCCTAAACAAAACATTGATCCTGTCAGAAGAGAAGGGAAGATAAAACAACAGGAATGGTTGAAAGTACGTCGTTCCGCTTAGTACTTAGCACAGATTGTCATGCATCTAGAAGCATTTTGGAAAACCTGCTCAAAAGGAATTATAACTAAGCTTCTTATCACGCTTACAATTAAGAGGAGTCTTGTCACGTCCCAGAAGCTAACCAAGTTGACAAATTCACACCACAACAATATTATTGAATATTTTATTGCATGAATACGAGCACCTCTAAGAATAAGTGCTTACAAATAGAATCAATAGTTAATGAATACATATTTCTGTACAGATTTGAAAAACGTCAATTCTTTCAACTGAACATAATTTACCTTGGCGGAAATTACAGGTATATCAGGTACATGAAACTTACTCTTACACAAGGGAGTAAGGAGGGCGTTATTTACTGTAGCATTTACATAGGTTTTGGTACTTCGACTTTCTTTGCTTCCAAGATCAATAAGGTTAATGGACCAAAGAAAATAATTGATAACATTATAAATTAAATTCTAATAAATATAATTTACTCCACCATATTTGTGCAATCAATTAATTTATTGAAATTTTTCAAATGTCCATCATCAAAGCGACCAATATCAAAAATTCAAAAACACTTTATAGTTAGATTGGCAAGTCAATATACATTAAAACGGTTTTCATAGCTGACAGCAGCGAAGTTGCCACTAAAAGGTCGAAATTTATAATTTTGTTCTTTAAAGTTAAAGTACCAAAAATTATTTCAACGCTACGCAATACCAAGTATCCAAGTGACTTCGACCTTGACAGTTATCAGAGATTAATAACAGAAAATATTCAGGTCATAAAATTACACGTGAAGATAGTTGGACAGCTGTAAATACTTCCCACGAGTAAATTGCTTCTGAAAGTAAAGGTGCCTGTACACAGGGATAGTACTAGCCGCTAGTTCATCCGCCGCTTGAACTATCCTCGTGTATAGGGGTTCAGCCGCTTCAGAGGCATGCGCCGGCAAGTGCCCGAGACTCGGCCGAGAGGGACAACGATGTGTTGATTTCATCGCTGGAGACGTGGCTAGTAGCGCTGACTCAGCCATGGTGAGAGCATCTGTGCCGCTCTTGTGAAGTATCTTGGGTCAAGTGAATCATGGCTTGTTTGAACGATAATGGTTCTAAGAAGAACACAACAAAGTGGAGTTCAGACGATATTCAATTGTTCTTTGGGATATTCTAAAAATGTGAATTAATGTGGAATGCTCGCCATGCTGTTTACTCCAACAAAATAAAGAGAGAAACGAGTATTTAAAAAGTGAAAGAAGACCTTATTAGTAAGGGTTTAGTTGTTCCCGATGTTGCATTTTTGAGGGCTAGAATAAAGAGTATAAAAACGACGTACAGACTAGAGTTGTTGAAGGTGATCTCACTATCCATCTTCGCAGACCTCACTCGACGGCTTCTAACGACGCACTGGCGGGCGCGAACGAGAAGATAGCGGCACTTAATACTCTCCTCGTGTACAGGCTTACTAGCCGGATAGTTACCAAGCGACCGACACTTGCCAGATTTACAAGCCGTCTGCACTATCCCCGTGTACAAGCACCTTAAGTAAATGGTAACCCCTAAAATTTTGCTTTACTTATTGGATCTTCCGAATGATAGTCAGAGGATGAATCATCAAATTCCTGGAATAAGTAAATGCAATTAATTAGAACGCATTTACTAGTTGTATCAAAATTAAAACAAATTTGGCAGCAGTTTACGGAAGGTAAGATTCATTAAGACGACAAAACGGTCACTGTCCAACCCTGACGCTATATGAGCGTCTAGCAGATGTAGAATGAGATACGCGAAGCCATAAGGTTATAGTATAACGGACATGAGATTATCGAAGGTGGCCTCATCGCCTCGGCCTCGGTGAGAGTGACGTTGTTGCACGCGACGTCGCCCTCAGTTGACGTCGTCTCGCTCTGAGCGCCCCACTTCTGCAGCTCAGCCTCGGTGGGTAAGGCAAATATCTTGGCCATGAAGTTGTAGGCGTGGCGGCTGTGGCGGTGCAGTCCCAGGCTTATGTTATGCGACGCGACCAGCGCCGCAGGCCTGGCCACAGCGACGAGTTCACCGCCTGCGCCTGAATGAAGCTCAGCTGGTGCGGTAGAACGTACTTCCCGATCTAAAGGAGAACGAGTCATTCCTTACATTCAATATTAATAAAGGCACCATCGTCTTATTAAGAGAAATAATGCAATTTAAAAATCTGTCGGGCCTTCTTCAATGCCAACTTAGAATAAAATATTTACCACGAAGTCTTACTAATACAAGGTCCCAGCATATTACCAACGAAAATTACTGTATTGTATTTTTATTGACGTTTTTCAGCTCAAACGTATATACAAAATATAAATCAAGATGAACTTGTAATAAAAGTCTACGACAAATGATACACAAATTTAGTTTGGTTTAGCGTTCCCAAGTTCATAAATCATGCACATATTTGTCAGAGTTTGTGAGTGTGCCTGGCACTAGAAATATGTAGATGTAGGGGCTGTTCGGGTGTGTCTCCAGGATACTTATCTCGTCGGGATATTACCTGGACCTGAACATTCATTCTTAGTGAGAGAAAAGGAAAGGATTGGCGGGAAGTGGTGAAATGATTGGATCAAAATTAAATTAAATTCTACAATTGGTAAATGTGAAGTTAACTGAAAAGACGCAAAAAACAATTTTTCCATACCATGAAACAGGAGCAAATTGAGAGTTTTATCTTCTATGTAAAATGTGGGTTTTAATTGTATTCACTTAGTTAGAATACATAAGATTGGCAGTTATTATCGAGAAATGGATTACGGGAATGACGGAATTTGGAATAACAGGATTCCAACATTGCAGGAATTATCAGGCCCAGGCACCGCTGAGCTAACCTGCTAGTAGACGATAATTGAAACTCGGAAACAAGATCCTGCGCAGTATGTACGCACTGAGCAACTATTTGTGCAACTTTAGCAGGTAGCGAGCAAGAATTCATGTGAGATGAAGTGCAAGGAGTCATGTCTGGCAGAAAATGTTTTGTGCTGGGTTGAACATATAGTTGCGTCACTAATGGGTGTGATGGGCGTAGTTAGGTCACCTGGTAGAGGGTGCGTGAGCGGTGGGTGACGTAGGACTTGTTCTTGAGGGCGGCGTCGAGCAGTTGGCAGCGCGTGGCCAGGCGCCATATTTCCTTGTATGCCTTCTTCAG